TCTCTCTCATCCTGCTGTTGGGAATCAGTAAGGGGAAGGGATATGGATGGGCCCGTCAAATGGGAGAAATGAAGCTTGGGACATACTAGGAATCAGTAGTAGAGTTGAGGTTAATATTTTAATTTTCCTTTATAAACATTTTCTGAAACAAACCTTTTGGATACATATAGAAATAGTTATGTTTCTATTATAGCTTAGAACACTTGAAATAATATGATTATTGCTGTGTGTTATTTCTTTAGCAAAATATATTTCCAGAATTGATTTAAGCTGGTATTCAGTGGTCTTCAGTCATCATCATCATCATCATCGTCTTTGTCACTTGTCATTTACTGGACACTTGTTATGTTCGAGCTACTGAGCTTTACGTGCATTATCCCTGCTAAAAGCCTAGGAGATGGGTATTACCCATATTTTGGCAGAACAGAAACTGAGACTCATAGAAGCCATTGGTGCAAAATCACGAACCTAACATTTTAGATCGCTAAGATTCAGTTCAGTGATTCAGTTTCACACCAGACCATTGGCTCTTAATAATTACATCATGTCCTTTACTGCTTCCTAGAGTTAAAACTTCAGTTTGTCATTTGAATTTACATGATAGACTAGTTCCATGGGCAAAAAGTAAAGAGGAAATGTGCCCAAACTGTTCTTCTCTCCATTTATAAATTATTGTAAAAGAAAAAAATAGCAAGCGGATTCTCTTTTCTTTGGTTATAAATTATGAGGATGATAAAGTTTCCAAATACAGTACAGTATATATTGAATAACTTTATAACTTTGAAAAATTACTTTTAACTTTGATACTTTTTATAAGTTAAATGTTCATAAATATACAAGTAAAACAAAAGGCTTCCAAATATATTTCAACTTGAGATCAAATTTAATTTCAATGTAGTGAAAACATAAATATCCAATTTATTTTATACATGTATGTATGTATTGGACACAGAGGTGGATATGTAGGCAAATAGAGGGGCAACATGTATTGTTAGATATACCCACTGAAATGCTATTGATTTTAGGCAAAGGTTTAAGATATTGTCATTTAAAGTAAATTTTTGGTATTTTAAAATGACTTCATTTGAAAAAGAATATAATGAACTAAATTTTTGCCAAATAAATCACTGTACATAAATCAAAACTAAAATCAAATATTATAGTTTTATTTAAATATATATTTCCTGGGGAGGGGAGGCAATAATTTTTGGAAGAATCAAATTATATTCTTTTTATAATTAACAGTTCCAACAAAATAGAAAGTTAAAGTGGACTAAAAATGACCAATTCTCCCCTATTGGAATATATGTTTTTAGATTAGTTAACCTGATTCTTAAAATTTTTATGGAACTTTAGCAGTAATTCCTTTATTTTACTTTTGAAGGAAAGGATCAGTTATGTGAAATATGCCCGTATCAATGATTAAAAAATCCTCCATTGCAACATTTACCAAAGATATTTCAGCCTTGTGTTTCAGGTGCACACAAATAAAGAGAAATCTATTAGCAGATAGTCTCCTACATCAGTAATAGTCATATTTGATATTTATTGTAAAAGTATTATTACAGTGCTAGGTAGTGATGATGTAGTAATAATATAGGCTACCTTTACTTACATGACAACAGATACCACACATACCTTAGTTATAATTTTCATAAGCCTTACAAGAAAGATGTTATTATCCTTATTATTAGGTCATTGGGAAAATCATGACATATTTTTCATTGCAAAAATCTGCCTTGGCTTTGCCAGCAGCCCAATAGTTTATAAACAGTCTTTTAAGGGTTAAATAATTTGTTCAAATTTGCCAACTAGTGAAAGTTTTTCTCACTCCATGTTTTCCAGACTCCAGAATCTATCCTTTTTTACATCCCAACATGAGATCTTAAAACAAATGATTTTTTTGTTGTAAAAAATGAAATTAAATTTTGTCCATTCGTTTTTATATTAGCTGTATCTTATGAGACTATGCTACTAATAAAGTATTTATGATGATTTTTCAACTTACCAGAATACTTGAACACCCAAGAATACCCTGCAACCCGACTGTGCCAGTTAACTATCTGAATATTTAAATTTCAGGAAATTTGGACTTTCATAAATAATAATGATTTTTTTCTAGTATTTCTAGGATTCGTCAAAATTCCAGCAACCATTTAAAGTTAAAACTTCTTTTTCCTCTTGACTTTCTAAAAAAAGTTAGTGCTTTAATAATTAGATTTTGTATTATCTCTAGGTTTTCAGTGAAGCGTAATAAGAAAATTGTTGGCTACTAGAGTTGAATAAGTTACAATGGCAACTTTGTCATGCTGGGTTTTTGGTTTTGTTTTTCCAATTTTATAAAGAAATTAAAAAATTCGATTGTACTTTCTAATATTAAGCAAAATGTTTATTTCCCAGATTTTACCTAACTTCTTCCCTGAGGCCATTTCTGTTTTGAAACTATTTTAATGGCCTTCATTGGGGTGTGGTGCAAATGTTCTAATCACTTTGCTAAACACAAGGGTTTCATATAAATTGAATTTTTCTTTTAGGATAATTGCCATTCACTTTTGTTTTATATGCATCTGAGTGGGGTTTTGCAGTATCCTCTGTGGACAATTAAAGTGCTGAAATAGGAGAACGCTAATAATTGCTTTGTGTAGTAATACTGACAACTTCTGCGTATTTGTCAATCTGTGTTAACAGTATCGATCAGGATGGGATCCTCATAGAGGGGCAGATAATATATCCACTAAATCTTCGGACAGTGATGTAAGTGATATATCTGCGGTTTCAAGGACTAGTAGTGCTTCTCGTTTCAGCAGCACAAGCTACATGTCTGTCCAATCAGAACGACCAAGAGGAAACAAGAAAATCAGGTGAGTAAGGGAACTAGCAGTAAGCTCTTAACTACTTTAGATTGTTTATGTTTTTCTTTGATAGATATAAAACCCTTTATTTTAAAACATTAAGGTGTATCATTAAGACAATAGAAACTTCAATACACATTACTTTTTATTATATTTAACTCCACACTTCAGACTTTTTGCACAGAAAAAAATGTAAAATTGATGACAAGTTTGTTACTAGATTACTCGAAATAATATTTGGAGGTTTTTCATGTTTGCAGTTTGACAGTTAATACTGTTGTTATATCTTTACTGAAATTAAAGTGATAGCTAAGTGAAGACTTTTTTTATATCCCAAGGAATTTGAAAAATAATATGTTGGAGGGCTTTTTCTCTAGTTAAATACACTTTAGTTATGCAAAAAACTTTAAATGTTACTTGGTTAGTAGGATGTCCTTCTGTCCTCCTGAAATTTTAATATGTATGTGGAAAAAGAGAGGGAAAAAGTCCTCATCTTCTCAACAAAATGTGTAAATGTAGTACATAAGTTAGTATGTAGTATGATTTGCGTCTCTCATATCATGTAGATTTTATGGACACCCAAACTAAATTTCAACTCCTATTATATGAGAAAAAAATTATAATGGCAAGATCACAACTTTGCCCTTTTTTTACATTAAATTTGTAAAAGGAAAATGTGATTTTAAAGTTGTTATGATTACATGTTGCTTACACAGAACTTTTCTGGTATACATTAACATTTTTTGAATGTTTAAAAGATCTAATTTTTACTTAGGTTTGGATAGCTTTTATTTCTTTTCTGTTTAATTTTGTGCACATTTTTCTTGACTTTTCTTTTCTTTTCTTTTCTGTTTGTTTGCATGCCTTCGATTTGTGTTGCTTTCCAAAGACCAAAGGGAATAGAAGAGGGAGGGAAAGAAGGGGATACGCATGAAGAGGTAGTTCATAAGGAGGAAGAGGTAAAGGAAGAAAAATATAATGAGGATGAGACAGGGAAAGTTACTTGGTTAGTAGGATGTCCTTCTGTCCTCCTGAAATTTTAATATGTATGTGGAAAAAGAGAGGGAAAAAGTCCTCATCTTCTCAACAAAATGTGTAAATGTAGTACATAAGTTAGTATGTAGTATGATTTGCGTCTCTCATATCATGTAGATTTTATGGACACCCAAACTAAATTTCAACTCCTATTATATGAGAAAAAAATTATAATGGCAAGATCACAACTTTGCCCTTTTTTTACATTAAATTTGTAAAAGGAAAATGTGATTTTAAAGTTGTTATGATTACATGTTGCTTACACAGAACTTTTCTGGTATACATTAACATTTTTTGAATGTTTAAAAGATCTAATTTTTACTTAGGTTTGGATAGCTTTTATTTCTTTTCTGTTTAATTTTGTGCACATTTTTCTTGACTTTTCTTTTCTTTTCTTTTCTGTTTGTTTGCATGCCTTCGATTTGTGTTGCTTTCCAAAGACCAAAGGGAATAGAAGAGGGAGGGAAAGAAGGGGATACGCATGAAGAGGTAGTTCATAAGGAGGAAGAGGTAAAGGAAGAAAAATATAATGAGGATGAGGATTTTTTTTAGATTACAAGAATGTGTAATAAGGAGGAAAACAGAGAATCAGGAGGTGAGGAAAAAACACAAGATATACCTGAGCAAGGGAAAGAAAAAGAACAGTGGAATAAAGAGGATTTGCAAAGGACAGTCTCAGAAGATGATGACAGGTAAAATATGCTTATTTTTTGTAGATGTTCCCATTAGTAATGTAGTCTTTCTTACTATTCCTAAGAATTATTTTGTCATTGGTATTTGCTTTATTCTCTTGTGTTGTATCTATGTAGCTTCTAGTAGTATTAATTAATGCATTGGCAAGTTATTATTAAACTGATTGGTTTCACAGTCTTTAATGTATATCCACCATCTCTGAGAGTTTGACTTATTTTGTTTTCAAATTTTTATGACTAGCTGAATTAAATTTAAATTTCCCTTTAGCTGTTTTAGCATAAATTACTGAACATCTTCCTCAACTGTAGAATCTAAAAATGAGTTGAAATAGCAATTTGCAAATCCTTTACCGATAGTGAAGACTGCTTCTGGGAGAAAGAAGGCAAAATGTATAAAATGAACTTCTGAAGGGACTAAAAAAAATTAGTCTACTTTATAAGAATTATTATACACTAGATGAACGTCTAAAATGGAGTGACAAAAAAAAAAAAAAAAAAAAAAAAAAAAACCAGCAAAAAAGAAGCGTTTTTTTGTCCCC